TTTTTTACCTACTACCTCACTTCTTGTGGATGGATCTTCACCAATTTGGTGTAGAGATTAATTGGGTCCATGGGGATATACATACAAAGTTGCAGTTTCACATTTTGTGTTTTGCAGTTTTTATGTGTGTTTTCTACAATTACATATAAGAGAAGCAACTTTTCATGTCCTAAAATAACCTTTCATTAATCATGAATTTACATAACTTCTGTCTAGGGGACAAGTACTCCAGCTAGTGTATATAATATAATATTAACATATAATGAGTTTACAAAGGACTCAAAAATCCCATAAATACACATAACAATTATAAGAGGCCTAACTGTATTTCAAGCTGTGCTGATGAGGTTTGAATAGGTGAAACTGCAATATATAACACAGGGTGCAGTGAATTAGACCCTGCATTAGACCTTTATGTCACAGATTACGTTTTCAATTTTACTTTTGGTGAAACAAAGTCTTTAATATCATCATTAAACAGCTGGTCTGCCATATAACATGGAGTAATGAATTAGATGCAATGCTATAATATTATTCACATACTTAAATTAATTTATGTTACTATATGTTGAGTTAACAAGCACTCAAGAACACCATAAATAAAAAATGTAATATCTCTTCTTATACAAAAATGGTATAGAAACAAGCTATCTGATTACCCCTACTTTGAGATTAGACTTTTATCTGGAATAACACTCAGGATAAAAATGTTAAACATAAATAGTTCCAAATATCAGATTTAAACAGGTTTTCAACATAAATAAATAAATAAACTTAATGAAGTAATTAAGTAATGGAGTAATTATAAAAAAATATAGTTTATGATTCAAATTTAATTACATAACAGTAATTCAATTTCAAACCATAAAAATGTTTCTTTATGATGCTTTGGTGATAGTAAAAAAAACACTTCTACTGGAAACTACAAGAGTGTATAATACAAAGTCTTATAACAACCAGCTAAAATGGTATATTTTAGCTATATATACCTTTGTTTTTTAAAACTTGTTAGAAGCTGACTTAATAACTTATGCACCTTTCATCTATTACTTCATATTTCAAAAATATTTAAGATACTACAAAAGTCATACCCGGGGTTGTTGGTTTTGAGTCTAATCTTTTACTTCAAGTATGGACATTTTGTACATTTCTGCAAAAAATTTTTTTGATATCCTTCAAGTTTGCAGAGCATTTTTAATCTATCTAATATTGATTTTAAGGTATCAAATCAACAACTAACAAAACTGTGTTTGTTTGTGTCGTGCTGATGTTCGTAATATATTTGGTATTTTATTTAAAATTTCTCATTTTTCAACCAAAACTACATAACAATAACACATTTATAAAATGTCTTCTTTATTTAACTCCAATGAATATCTTTCAGTATAACAACCTTCATTAATAACACTGAGTGTTTCTCCACAGAACTACACTTTTCTTATCTTTGGATAACTCCCACTAAAGAGAATTCATTAAACATTTCAATAAATTTTGGAGATGGCTAGAAGAAGCAATGACAATGCCACATGTGATAAGAGCCAACCATTCAAAATGGTCAATTAGTGTGTTTGTGTGTAATAAGGTTTCAAAAAGCAGTTAAAGACAGGTCTGCCTAATTACTGAAAAAAAAAGGAAAATTTTTACAACAAAATTAAAGAAGCTAAAGTTAGAAGCTACAAAATAAATCTTTAGAGAAAATCTGAGATTGAAACTAGCTTAACATTACAGGTTTTATTTATTATACCTCAAAGAAACAACTACAAGAAAGACATGCCAATAACACTGGCTCTATATGTAAAGAATAAATACAAAAATTAATAAATTAATTGGTTCATTACATAAACAAACAAATAAAAAATACCAATACCACAAAGATGATCTCTTTTTGTAAGAGCTCAAAAAGAAAAGAAGTTTTTCTTAATTACTTTTATATTTTGATATTCATAAAAAACAATAATAACATCATTCAATTAAAACATACTACTAATATATAAAAATGTATATAAATTGTTTCTTTTCAGTGTAAAAATGTTTCTTTTTGTTCCTTTTCAATAATTAGGTACCCTCATTTAAAGACAACAGATCAACAACAAAGAATCAACTACAGAAAATCATTAATGGAAGGAGGAAAGATTCAAACAATGGTCCACAGAAAAGGATTGGATTAAAACAGTATTTAAAATCTTTGGGTAGTCTTTGAGAGACAGCCACATAAAATTATCATTGGTGGGAAGGTTTTGCAGTGTAAGCTGTAGCCTTGAAAAAGTAAGAATTTTGTCTGAAAGAACTGTTTTCAGAGCTTTTATCAATTGACTACTTTAAGAGTACTTTTGCATGTTTCATTTTATGATAAAAATTAGATCTTTGAAGCTGTACTTAAATAAACTACATTATTGAAGCTAGTAAAATTGGACTACTACAACTGTGATGGAAGTCATAAAGGCACACTTAAGAAAGAACAAAGCTCACAAGGTAGTATTTCTACACAGCATGCATGAAGTCATTTTGTTGTCCTCATCTTTTAACCTCTAGTGATTATTGTTGTAACATGAGTAGACTCAATAATAAACCACTAACTAGCTCGTAATAAGTCCCAGATTATTTTCCCATAACATATGGACCTACAGATCCTCTCAATAATGCACAGCTTACTTCACAATACACAACTTACCTGTTTGCTAACAACTTTGAGGTTTTTTCCAGTGGCTATGGTCATAACATGGGGATCTACAGGTAGACCCAACAATGAGAAACTTAACAAAGGAATGATCAGACACTGTAACCAGAGGATGTGTCCAGGAGGAAGTGGAAGGGGCAGAAAGAAGAGAGCTCCTAACAGCTCTGTCAGTGCCAGGCTGAGACAGCAGCACAACATAAACTGAAAACTGTTCCTCATCTCTGCCATAAAATGTCGAGCCTTGAGAAAAATGACATAAGAATAATTCTAATGTGGACAACTAAAACTACTATAATACTTATACAAACATGTAAAAAAACTAAAACTGACTCCAAATTACTGTTGAACAACAAAAACTAACTGCAATTATAAGCTTTCCATTTGTTAATGATTTTGTACAACTTGCAACTTGAGGTAACAGTGGAAATGGTTCAACATCTGTTTAAATGAACTCTGCCCAGTTTGTTGAATGTATCAGTTTAAGACCAGTATGAAAAGAAAGTAATGTGTGAAAATACAGACCAATATATATATAAACATTTCTGGCATGGTCTAAATGACAATTGTATGAAATTATTAAATGTTTTATTTTTGTAAGTTCTTCAGAACTGATGTTCCACTCTGCACGAAAATCTCTCGTTAATCCTGAAGCTGATGTATGAAACAAACTTTGAACAGTTTTTACTGTTAGTTAGAGATCATTTACTCAAAGTCAAATACAATTAATAAATTTTTTAATTTTTTTCATTGCAAGACTTCTTAAAGTATTTAAAGATGTTATTATTAAGTCCCTAATTCTATTAAAAATTTCCAATGTCTTCACTTTGAAGGTCATGAAAACCTGAAACTTTTTTTCTGGATTTTATGCTCTAAGACTCCTTGTGTAATACTGATGATTTCAAGATTGATTTCCAATTGAAATACCTTACATTAAAGTATTATGATAAGCCTATTAACACCATAGTAGGTATATACAATTCCTTTTATACAAAGAAGGCAAAATACTGTAATAATTGAAAAACATCATTTCAAACTGTCTCCACTTAATATAACTGATTTTCAAGACATAATAACTGTTTTAAAGCAGCTTGTGGTTAACGTCTGTTGATTGTCTGTTCTAACCTTTCCTTAGTACATGAAAACTTTGTTACTTAATTTTCAATTTTAAAATTTTAACTATACATCATTATTTCATATTTTATAAAAAAACAAACTCGTTCTACTTTTCAACTGCCAAGAAAGACATCAAATTTTTACTTACCTTCCTATTCTATGCTTTTGTGACTTCTCATAAAACTGATATGACACTGGATTTAGGTATCTATCTTTAGTTGATCCAGGTATTCAACATTTAATTAAGCATTATAGATTCATTATTGTCATGAATATTAAGTGATGTTTATTTCATGTTTAATTTGGTAATGCTGGCTTTCTGATATCAATATGGCTTAAGCTAATAACACTCAAGTCTATCAAGACAAGGAATGTAAAGTATTAAGTGATATCAACGAATACTGATACATAATTACCCCCCCCCCCCTCCCAAATCAATATAACATGAGGTTGAGTATGCTACATTTAACAAGTAGTGTGATGCCACTGAAAATTTATTGCTTTTCGGAAGGATTTGTTTTAGCTTTTACTGATACAATATACATGTATTCATACTCTCAAGTTATTAAGATGTGTAAAGACTGGGGAGTTAAAATTTTAATATGGGGATGTTATAATTTTCCTACACTGAAAATGTATTTCTGATAGGTACTTACCTCCACTCACATAAATAGCTATTCTCATTCAGTGCAGACCTCAATATGCAAAAAAAAAAATTTTTTTTCATGCCACTAGCCTTCTATCTCCCTTCCATTGGAATTAACTGATTCCAATGCATCTCTCATGCAAATCATCATGCATCGACCCTCCACCAATAAGAGTGCAACATACTCTCATGATGCATGTGGTTCTCTCTATTCAATTTTACCAAACTATCAACTAGAGTTTTGGTAGAAGCTGAAAGCACCGGTTTTCTGTGGGGAGGAAGGGTGGGAAGAGTGAGCAGAAGTAAGTACCTATCAGAAATACATTTTCAATGTAGGAAAATTATAACTTTCGATATGTTACGTTACTTCCACTCACATAAATAGCTAAAATCCCACAGATTCTAAGATCTGATGTGGGGAACAGCATCACTTCTGAACCAGGTATACTCTTCTCCCATCGTAGAAAGATGCCACACATATGTGCGGAAAACAGAGAAGCACATCCAACTGGGAGAGAACTATGGCCAGAAAGTGTTCCGAACCATGCAATATTTATGAAACTCAATCCTAGAAATTATAAAAGTGGGTAAAATTAAAAGGATGTACCCCTAAGTGTAGAGTAGCTAGGGTGTGACGGACCGTATACGGCAAGTCAACAACATCCAAAATTCATGTTGCTGGGAGCCAACATCTACCCGGGGGTAGGATGAGGATCATACCATCGGTAAGTCAACTACAATCCAAAACCCAGATGCCAGGTACCAACATCCATGTGGGGGTAGGAAAGAGGATCATACCATCGGTAAGTCAACTACAATCCAAAACCCAGCTGCCAGGTACCAACATCCATGTGGGGGTAGGAAAGAGGATCATACTGGTGGAAAGTCAACTATAATAAAAAACCCAGCCATCTGGCAGGGGTAGGAATGAGGATCATACCATCTCCACCTCAAGTTCATGAAACCAGAGGAAATCTAGTACCCACTGACTCATAAACAGGGCACATGTTAATATGATAAATTGATAGATCAATCCAGGAACCCAACATCCATTATTGAAAAGATGTCTACATAATTTAAACCATCTCCCTCAAAAGTTAAATTGACAGGAACCACCCCATGTGCATTTACATCCTCGGAAGAAGAAACATCGAGGGATAGCAGAACGGAAAGAACCATAACAATCTGCAATTACCTCCACTGTGACCCACAATACTGATGGAGCATAAATGAGGGATGTATATAGACATCTGTAATACATACATGAGGACTTATGTTGATTGGTTCTACTCTAAATCCAAAACCCAGCCACCAGTAACCAACATCCACGTGGGGGTAGGATGAGGGATCCCAATCGAAGGGGGTGAGCTGCAATTTTGACATCTCACTCCCATTTGTTTTTATGTTTCATATTGGAGGATATCACATCATCTACACCAGCAGAACACCACCACCCTACTCTCAACTGAATGGTTTTATACTCATTTCTATATTTTGGTTGTATTTTATTAACCTATTCAGGAGGATGCTTCCACAGTCCACCATCCTAATGGCTTGGAACTGGAAAGTAGTAAGGACTCTCAAACTCCACTAGAAAAAAAGGGGGGTAAAACGTGGTGGAAAGTTGGGACAAACAACAACACCTGAGAAAGTGCAATGGTTGACCACAAAACCCTATTTTGAAAAGCAGACCATATTGATTTATTCAATACAAAGCATGGCAGGGATGGGCAGCTATTCCTTCTGCTTTACCTATGTAGTCCATGGGTGGGTATGGTCTGGAACAGGCAAACTTATAAACCTATAAGTTATCTTGTGGAACACTCCATCTCTGCAGTGTGTGTTGTGTGGCCATGAAATTATAATATGCAAGTTGACATGGCTTGACAGTGAGAATTTGAACAGTTAAAGAATACCTGGTCAGGCACTACTCGCCACAGAGCAGGATCCAAACAATGAACATTAATAAAAGGGACAAGGGCCCCTGAAAAGGAAAAATAAGCAAAAAAAAACTTGCCCAGCAGTCTCAATGAATTCTGATATTCTAGAATGGCTACAAGCAGAAGACAATAACCCAAAGAGGAAGAAAACTGTGATCTGATGCAAATGAGAGATGAACATATCATGGGTAGTCCATATGCCCGATTGAAGAAGTACCTCCAAAGGACGACGAAGATGAAATGCCAAAAAAAAGGTAAGGTATTGAACTTGGTGAGAAGATACAAAGTACGGGAGGAAGATGACAAAGAGGAAGAAGCCAATCGAATGAAGAGCCGAACCCATTAGCGAAGGAAGAAGGAGAAAGAACATGAACAGAGGATGGTTGCCAAAGGAGAAAGAGGTGGGAATGGACACCACAGAAGGAAGCCATTCAGGCAATATAACAGAGAAGAGCATGTACAGGACATAGAAGCCTATCTGAATCAGGATGAGGATAAATGTGTGAAACAGAAGGAAAGGAAAATGGCTAAACGGAGGAGTTATCCTCATGAGCCACCAAAGTGTGAAGGAGAAGAAATGATTCGGAGAAAGGAGACAATATGTAGAGGGATAAAAAGCAGGTGAATAGGAGAAGGAAGGAAGACATAAGGGAAGGTGAAACAAAGAACACTGGGAGAGTGGTTCGAACAACGGTAAAGTAAGGCAGTGCAGGACCACATTAATATCCCCATTCAGAAGTGCAGCCCACCATGGCAAACGACAAATCCTGAAGGAACACACCAACAGGTAAAGTGTAGGAGAGGAAAATACCTGCAGGATCATGAAAATAGAAAGGTGTGGGACAGAACTACCCAAAAATCCGAGACCGAGAAGACAGAACACTCCTGATCCAAAAGTCAATACAGTAAATACGCATGATGAAAAACAGTGGGTTGATCAGGGGAAAACTCTGGATCTAGAAACCAACAACAGAAAATTCCATTTGCATTGAGAAATTTCCATGTAGGAAGTGCAAATGAAACAAGCCAGAAAATAGGATAACCATCTGGAGAAACCGGATCACCTCACCAATGATGAGAGGAAAACCATGCATGAAGGCAGAGAACAGGAAGGTCTGGGTAAAACACTAGTGACTGAGGTTGGCGAAAAAGGGATGGAGACAGAGGAAAAGGTAATGGAGAAGGAAGTTGGAGCTGGTGAAGCCGAAGAAACCACAGCTGAGACAGCCAGAAAAAACCGATCAGACAGACTGAACACAGATTGTCAAGGATGAATGAAACCACCCAGAGAAGAAGAAGAAAGGGAGGATAGACAAATCTGTAGGTCCAATCCTGGCTGAAAACATCAATAGCCAGAGCAAGAAGATGAGGAACCGGAGACCAAAACTCAGGCAATTTGTGGTTAAGGGACGTAACAAAACCTTAATGTGAGGAGTACCCCACTAAAGTCAAAGCCACTGGAGAACAAAAGGATCAAGAGATAATTCCATTAGATAAATGTTGTCTGGACGGTAATCCGATCCATGACAAGAGCAAAAGCATCTGTAACATGACACAGAATGATAGGAATATTGAGCATGCAGGCCCAAAAAGTAGATGCAATGTATGAATACAGAGAGATGGAGATAATCAACCACTGAAGAAAAGTCAGAATGGATTATTACCAGATGCTTTCTGGCCAGAAGGAGAAAATGAACCAAAACATGACCTACAGTGAGAAGCTCCAGGACATTGATAGGATAAGACCTCTAGGCCACAAAACAAAACCTCTGAATCTTCCAGTTGATCAACCCACACCAAACATCCCCAAAGGGATGCATCCACAAAATGTGAAAAATCAGATGAAGAGGACGAAGCGGGATACCTGCCTACATCTGAGTCATATCTAACCACCAATGCTGATTGACGACAAGGGTAATAAGACAGATAAAGGATCACTGCAAATTCCACTGGTTGTGAAAAGCCCATATAAAAGCCTGACCTAAGGGGCTGAGGCTACCATGGAAAATCACACACCCAAAAGTGATAGAACTTCATAAGCTGTAATCAAACTGAAAACTCATTGATCAAAGTCAAAGAGGAGAAGGGCATGCCCAACTGAGATGGGCGTAGAAAAGGAAAAAACCCAAATGGATAAGATATTGGATAGGTTGCAGTAAGGACTTCTCCAACTTGACTAACAGCCCATTATAGCTGCTTCAAGGAGCAGCTGATAAGGGTAACAGGCAGACTCCAGTTCAGAATGAGCAAACAGTAACCAGTTGAAAGAAGAAAGTGCAACCTGAGAGCATATAAGTGACAAACAAATGCTCTGAATGCCCAACAAAACATTCAGGACCGAAGCAAGTCTGAAAGGCAATGCATGAAACAGAGAAACTACCCTGTGAAGAATAAATCGAAGAGAGGGTTGCGAGTGACAATGTATCAGGATAAGCAAATAAACAATCGTGACATTCCTCATCAATAAACCTAGAGAAAAAGCCTACCTAAGGGTGAGAAACGATTTCAAAGTAAAATGAGGCAGACTGAAAATTAGAATGAGGCAGGACAAACATAGTACAGGCTGCCAGTCTCCAGTTTGATGCGAGGATAACAGTTAACCTGGAATAAAAGCATGGAGAAAGATGAAGAAAGATGCAATGGCCAGTGGAGACAGAAAACCTTGTATGCTCCAAACAGATTCAGGCTGGTGGCAGGATCCCAAGTCATGGGGAAGGAAGTGGTTACCAGGGACAAAGGAGGTGGGAAAAGGAACTGGATGGCAAGTCCCTCTGATAAAACACAAAAAAAACATGGAACTGAGTAAAAGATCACATATAGTCAAGTTCCCACTGGACCAGAACCCTTTGGTTAGTCTCTGGTTCTGTTGGCGACATGCCCATCAACTATGAATAAAACAATGAGATGAGAAACCCCTAGAAGAGGAACAAAGACGAGTAGATAAGGGCCAGGACGGAAAAGGTACAGGGCCATGTCGTGGCTCCAACTGCAACAAATGTGCAACCAAAGAGGAAAGGGTCAAGTGTTAACACACAGATTAAACATGAGATTCCAAAGTCCAAGATACATGATTGAAAACATATCATCTAAGAAAAATACAGAAATCCAAAACAGAAAGAGGCAGAAAAAGTACCCAGGACAAGGTCACATTACAACCTAGGAAATCCCAAGTACAGTGAAACTATGTGTGTAAAACGAGAGCCAAAAACGAGAAATGAGCCAACTTGGAGGTAATAAATGAGGAATTACATAAAACATAACATATCTGAGAAATCATGTAGAAAAATGCTCTATTAGGCCTAGCTGAAAATATAGGAGGAGTAGGAAAAAACACGGCAAAATCTGGCGGTGTAAAATGGCTATAAAATCTTCATCGGCCTGAACAGGTTTGGCTTGTTCAAGAGGATTAGTGGTTTACGCATATAATGATCAATTTCATGATGGATAAAAGCAGAGAAATCCAATAGCAGGTTTCCCCCACCTGCAGCCTGTGAAAATAGTGATGGAGGTATAACGCCCGATGTGGGAACATGAACCTCAGTATTCATCATAAAATATGTAAATCAAACAAAAGTGTTTGATGTAAAATATATGAGAGAGAGAAAAAATATAAAGACTGGGAAATTAAGTTAAAGGATTTCTTCAAGAAATCCACTTCGGCAATTAAACTAATAAAACCACGATTCACATGAAGAGCACCAAAAGAAAAAATGTCTGAACACAAGTACTGCCAAACAAGAAGTGATAGTTCAGTAGAATTGAATAGAGGGAGCCACATTCATCATGACAGTATGTTGCACTCTTATTGGTGGAGGGTTGACACCTGATGATTTGCATGAGAGACACATTAGAATCAGTCAATTCCAATAGAGGGGAGATAGAAGGCTTGTGGCATGCATAAAAAAACTTGCATATAGAGTGCAGCACTGAATGAGAATAATTATTTATGTGAGAAGAGGTAATGTACCGTATCGAAAATCCCTTTTACTTAATGGCATTGGAAAACAAAAGGTGGTGTATTGTAACAGGTAAAAATCCACAAACCCATATCGAACATACCAGGACTGTATCATTAAACAACCAGTAACACATCTTAACTTTACAACATAGAACATTCCAGGTCAGTATCATTAAACAATCAGTAACACAGCATAACTTTACAATATAGAACATACCAGTACAGTATCATTAAACAACCAGTAACACAGCATAACTTTACAACATAGAACATAACAGGACAGTATCATTAAACAACTGGTAACACATCATAACTTTACAACATAGAACATACCAGGTCAGTATCATTAAACAATCAGTAACACAGCATAACTTTAGAACATAGAACATACCAGGTCAGTATCATTAAACAAACAGTAATACAGCATAACCTTACAACATAGAACATACCAGGTCAGTATCATTAAACAATCAGTAATTCATCATAACTTTACAATATAGAACATACTAGGACAGTATCATTAAACAAACAGTAATACATCATAACTTTACCACACAGAACATACTAGGACAGTATCATTAAACAAACAGTAATACAGCATAACTTTACAGCATAGAACATACCAGGTCAGTATCATTAAACAAACAGTAATACATCATAACTTTACAACATAGAACATACGAGGACAGTATCATTAAACAAACAGTAATACAGCATAACTTTACAACACAGAACATACCAGGTCAGTATCATTAAACAAACAGTACTACAGCATAACTTTACAACATAGAATATACTAGGACAGTATCATTAAACAAACAGTAATACATCATAACTTTACAACATAGAACATACCAGGACAGTATCATTAAACAACCAGTAACACAGCATAACCTTACAACATAGAACATACCAGGTCAGTATCATTAAACAAACAGTAATACATCATAACTTTACAACACAGAACATACCAGGTCAGTATCATTAAACAAACAGTACTACAGCATAACTTTACAACATAGAATATACTAGGACAGTATCATTAAACAACTGGTAACACATCATACCTTCTTTATTCTAGAGTCTTACCTCCATTATAACATGGAATAAACTGACAGGATCCTCTCGAGAGTAGGTGATGGTGCAAGGGAGTGTGTTCAGGTGGTGACTAAGGCCAGTGGGACTTATCCAATTTGTATTCTGTTGCTTTTCAAAGCGAGTTTGCCTCATGCACAACTGGGGATACAGAGGCTCAATTCCAATACTGAAATCATATCAAACAGTCATGTGTGTCTTGCAACTACTTATTGAACAAGTTCAATGATATATTAACCAAATATATGCATTTCCCGAGACATTTTCTTTTAACCATTACAGAACTTGATGTAAAAATTTAAATTGAAGTTGTTGTTGTTCACACAAATATATTATTTATTATAGAGGAGATAACTGTAAACCAGTTATCAAATGACTACCTGGTTCAGCCAAATTAAATACCAGAAACAAAGTTATCCAAACAGTGTTCATTACCAATGCTAATTTGTACAGTTAAGTTTAAACAGTCAGTCATTTCTAATATAAATACTTATTTCTGGTCTTACTTTTTTCAAAAAATTCTAAAGAATCAGTGGTTCACTTACACAGTTCATTTACCAATGAATTTAAACATACAAAGAAATTTTATATTATCCAAAAATTTGCTTTCAAGGTTGTTAGCATTAATAACTAAAGTTCAGTTTCAACAAACTATTCCAAATATATTCTTAGTTATTAATTCATTTATTTCTCCTAATGCTTGTTAATGAATTTTTTAAATTTAACATAAACATGCTCTTTACTTCAAACTATGCATTCAGAAAGAAAAATTAGCAAAAGAAATACAGTAGTATTTATATGACTTCTTAAATAAAATTTTGTGATGTGTTTTAGCTTTATATTCAGATTGCTTTCAAATTCCTCCTGGCAGAATGAGGCTGCAGATATTAATATGTTTACCTAACTTTTAAGGATTACATCCATAAGCATAATTATTATGTTTTATGCACCAAATAACACACAGGTCTAGAGGGCAAGGATTTTCACTTGTTTTCTGACACAGTTTAGTGGTTAAAATATTTACCTAAAACGTTCAGTGTATGAGCCTTAAAAGTAATTTCTTTCATAACTTAGTTGTCTCTTATAAGCAGCACAATTCTTCCGTCACCATTGTTAATAGCAAGAAGTTACTGAAAACATTCATATATCAAATCAATTCAACACTGTCAGTTGTATGTTACAAACCTTCTTAGTCGTCAATACTTCATATGCTAAAGTTCTGTGGTACTTTCCACAAAGATGGGAATGTCTGGCCGTATGTGTTTCATTTACATTAAAGCATAGTACTGAACACCCTTTTCATTGTCTGCTCCAAAAAATGACCTGCAGTTCATCCAGGCTCTTCATATTCACAAGACCTCAGAACTACAGATGTCCAACACCACACTTAAAAAATTTATTCACTACCTCTAATATTTGTTTGAGGAGCTCATTACTCACACCTTCTTTGACGACAATGTGTCTGTGGAGAATAAGTGATGTATATTCCATGTTCTTGACAACCAAAAGAATGAGGATGGTAGAACAGAGCAACGGTTAAAGAGAAGGACTTGGAGACAGAGGCCAAAGCCCTGGATAACTTTGTCATGGCTTAATAACCAGTGAACTTTTGGAAATTTGACCTTTCTTTTTACATTCAGCTATATTTAATCATGATTTATCTACTGTTAACTCTTTCAGGTATAATAAGTAGCTCTGTGTTTAAGATAGTGTATTAAAACAATGTAGCAGAGGATTTTTGAGATTATCAGTTTCATTTGTAAAGTTGAGTACTCTGAAATATTTTCTGTTAACATGAGTAACAGATGAGGGATATTTTTAAAGATTAGGATTCAACTGCTTACCTGACATCAGCCTGCAGGAAGACAGGCATGTTGTGAACACTAGCAGAACTTCCAATACAGCAAACTACCTCTCCATATTCCTGCATTATCTTTATCATCTCTCGTGTAGCTTCTGCTGTGCAGTCAGTGAAGAGAGATACTAACAATGGAACATTGTCCACACGCTCGATGTGTGGTCGAATGTTCTCAATCCCTTTTGGGAGTTTAGCCTAGAGACAAACAATGCAACCAATCAGTCTGTATTGCTTCTTTCCTATTCATTCACCAAATACAACACTGCCATGTTAAATATGAATGTTACAGTTGAAGAAACAAAACTAAACACTAACAGATTCCAAGAATGTTTTTTTTTTAAATGTTGTATTGGCCCGATTATAAGGCGATGTTTTTTTTTTTTGTAAATAATTAGGCTGTAAAATTCATAGTTGCCTTATAATCGCGGTTGACCACAGACCCCTTCTCCCTACTCTAGCCTGTCACATTCCTGAATGTCCAAGATAACATCTGTCTACACATGCGAATGAGCAAGATGTTTGCTCAAGATAATTGCTAATTTTTGCAACTAATCCACCTGCAGGCTGTTCAGTTATAGCATTAATTTTGTTAGTGCATTATTGATTTGACTGTGCTCATTTTAAATTTTATAATAATTGTTATCTGTGAGTCTTATTTTAGTGGTAGAATGCAAGAATGACTGATCACATTGAAAGACAGGAAACAAGAAAGTGTCAAATTAACAAAGGATTGTGACTGAGTTATGATGCAATTCTTAAAATTATGGTGGTACACGAGGTAGAAAAAATGAAACATTGCTGAAAAATTTGGTACAACTGAAAATAATATGAGGCATTGGCAAAAACAAAAGACTGAACTCCTTAATGCACATTCTATAAGAAAGGCATTTTGCGGACCTAAAAAAGGACATTAGGACACTCAATTTTCTTTTCTTTTACTTTTTTTCCTCAGGGTTTCTGAAAATGTGGTTGCCTTATATTCGATATCCCCCTATAATTGATAAGATGCCATATTTTTCTGAAATGGAAGAAAGTTACTACTTTTACTTAAGCTATAGATCTACAAAATATCTAGCATTGTAATGCACCCTGAATAAGCCTGTAAATCATAAAGAAAATGGGAAAAAATTGATCCATGATAAACTATCACTATAATGTTCAATATTAGGATGAAAGCAGTAGATTCTTGTTCATATTTATGGTATATATACCATGCATTACTTAAGTTCTTAGAAAATCCTTTACTGGTGCCTTATGTTTGGTTTTATTTAACAATAAGGACTAGAGAAACTTCATGCATGGTTTAAAGTCATATCAATTTTGTATGTCACTAGCTATCTCAAACAGGCAAGTGTCTGTGTAAGATGCTACTATCCTATTGCTATTTTATAAGTCTTAAGCATGTAATTTTATATAAACGTTACTTTGTTTACCAAATGAAGTGGTTATGGATTTTTTAAAAATCTACCATAAATTAATCTTGGAAGTTTAAAAAATACTTTGTCCTTCAAGATAATAACAACTGCATTTAACAGCTTTTGTGTTTTGTTGGATAATTTGCATGTAATTAAGTAACAAACATTAATTACATTTGTACATGCCAAGTACAGTGCCAAGTAAAGAGGTGCTGGAACACATTTAACTGTGTAAGGTGGGATTCGTTTGAAACAGTGGCATTCCAGCTAAAAACAAGTACAAGTATGCTATGCCCGTGCGTTCCTTCTCTGTTTGTACATAACATATCAGCCTTTTATAGTAACACACTTTAATGACGAGCACAAGTACTTATGTAATTATAAGGTGCCAAGTTAAAAAACTTTAAAAAATTGATTCAGTATTTTTATTGATTCTTTATCAAACAGACATCTCAAAAATAGAGCTAAAAAAGATGCTTAACAACCAATAAACTTTTAAATCAAATTATGGAGAAAAAGTTTGCTGGATTAGCCAAAAATCATGAATCAAGAAAAATCTTCTGCATAGCCTGATTCATGTTTGACATTAAATATTTCATGATAAGGTTAAGGTTTCTAAAAAAAAACACATACAAGCTAAATTATTATACAAATTGCACAGTTAATTAAAGCAATCACAATTACATCTTTAAGCTAAAAATTAGTATCAACAAGGTGTTTTTATCAATAAACACTTTGTTCACTATAACTATTGATTATAAAATTAGTAGGCACCAAATAAACAATAGAGACAGTAAACTATAAGTTTCCAAACTCTTTCTAAATTGTCATAAATAAGAAAATATATCTCAATAACTAAACAAAACTTTAACCTATCAAATAAACTTCAATGATGCTAGAAAATTTCAACTAATAACAGACAGAAATTCTTAGCCACTTTCTTTACTTGGATTGTATTAAAAACTTCAGAAAAAAGTATGTACTATTACAAAAATCAGACCTTTCACTCCTCGACATTATATCGTTATGTATTAAATCATTTCATATCGTTATTAATGTTTTAAAGACTTTTGAAACTTGAATTGATATTTAGAATTTCTTAACTTATAGGCTTTTAAACATTTAACTTATATACTTCAACAAAAAGTAGCAAGTCACTTGACAATGACTTTTAAATGGCAAACACAGTACTGGATGGATTAGACAATGAGACCAGGAAGTGGGAAATCATCATTTATAGCAATCACACACAAAAAAGGCAACTTTATTTTTTGTCTTTACTTAATATTTATTAAGTATTTTATTTGTATATGTTACTAAAGAAGTAGCAGGAGCCTAACAAAATTACAAATATACATTACTCTATTTGACATGTCAAAGGTTAATGGGGCACTTTGCTCAGTGCTTTCAGTCATGTGACTATGTTGTGGTGACAAGTCAACTCCACTAATTCCCAAGTCTTCATCTTCAGTTTCATGTAGGAATATGTCAACTTCAGTTTTAGGCCTGTTTAAAGGATCTGTTTCAGTACACTCTTCTTCCTCATCCTCTTCATCTTTTTCATTCTGTAGATGGTTACTTAGTCGATGTAATCTTTAATTATAAATTCACAGAGAGAGAACAAAACAAAATGACTATCACTTGTGTAAAGCTTCTTTTCTTTTAATGAATACTTGTGTTCATGGAAATATTAAATGTTTTACTTTATTAAATCATGCTACTTTATAATAGTATTAAAACGTTTATTGTAGAGCGAGAGAGGTATTTCCATCACATAAAACTAAAAAAAGAGTGTTGGAATGACTAGTAAGACATAATTGATAGCATATAACACCTTTAATGAATAAACACACACAAGTTATATGCATCACGATAATCATTTAAACATAGCATTAAGCAAGAAGTCTGAGAAGACATATATAAATTTCATTAATAACAAGTGGATCACTGGTTCTCAAGTTCTGCTGCCTGAAGTATCTTTAAGTAGAACAACTCCAAAATACAAACAAGTTTGTTTTTCTTAAACCCTGTAAACCGGTAGTACAACAATGCAAGAAAAAACAGTCTTGGAAAAAGTTAAGTAACACGAAAAAGTGTTATTCATGCTTTTAACCATTAATGTCTTTGACTATTCATTGTCACTACAGCCTAACTACTGTTCTGTAAACTATACAACATACTTCACTACAGCCTAACTACTGTTCTGTAAACTATACAACATACTTGTTACTACAGCCTAACTACTGTTCTGTAAACTACACTACATACCTTCCACTACAGTATAATTACTGTTCTGGAAATTTTACAACATACCTTCCACTACAGCATAACTACTGTTCTGTAAACTACACTACATACCTTCCACTACAGCATAACTACTGTTCTGGAAATTTTACAACATACCTTCCAGTACAGCCTAACTACTGTTCTGTAAACTACACTACATACCTTCCACTACAGCATAACTACTGTTCTGGAAATTTTACAATATACCTTCCAGTACAGTCTAACTACTGTTCTGTAAACTACACTACATACCTTCCACTACAGCATAACTACTGTTCTGTAAACTACACTACATACCTTCCATTACAGCCTAACTACTGTTCTGGA